AGACTTCAACACACCACTCTCGGTGAAGGACAGAACATCTAGAAAGAAACTCAATAAAGATACAGAAGATCTAAATGCCACAATCAACCAACTTGACCTCATAGACATACACAGAACACTCCACTCAACAGCAGCAAAGTATACATTCTTTTCGAATGCACATGGAATGTTCTCCAGAATAGACCACATTTTAGGCCAAAAAGTAAGCCTTAACAAAATTCACAACAATGAAATAATACAAAGCATCTCTCTGATCATAATGCCATAAAAGAAGAAATCAACAACAGCAACAGTAAGGAAAAAAATCAAATACATGGAAAGTGAATAACATCTTGCTTAAAAACTACTGGGTGATAGAAGAAATCAAGGATGGAATAAAAAAATTCATAGACTCAAATGAGAATGAAACACATCTTATGAAAACCTGTGACATACAGCAAAAGCAGTACTTAGAGGTCAATTTATAGCAATAAACGCACACATCAAAAAAGAAAGGACCAAAATCAAAACATTAACCCTACAACTTGAACAAATAGAAAGAGAGCAGCAAAAGAAGCCCTCAGGCACCAGAAGAAAGGAAATAATAAAGATTAGAGAATAAATAAATGAAATAGGGAAGAGAAAAACAATTGAAAGAATCAGCATCTTAGGCTGGTTCCTCTAGAGAAGTAAAACCAGTAAAGAATATAAACATATATAGAAAGATATTTATATCAAGAAAATGGCTCACATGGTTGTATAGGCTCGAACATCCCAAGTCCGTGGGTCAAGGTAGAGGTTTCTCCTGAGTCACGTAGCCGCAAGGGCTGGCAAACCCAAGATCGGCAGGTCAGACAGCAGGACTCTTGCTCACAGGCTGCAAAGACTGACGAATCCCAAGACAGGCAGGCAAGACAGCAGGTAAGTTGTTAGCTCAAGTCCCAAGAACTGGAGGTCACATGAACATGAGCCAGTTGCAGTATCCAGCGCGAGCAAAAGCCCGCAAGCCTTGCCAGAAAATCCACTTATATTCGAGGCAAGTCACACCCCCAAGGAAACTCCCTTTCAACTGATTGACTACTCACAGCAGATCCCACCATGGAGGTGATCACATTATATCAAATCTCATCATGGAAGTGATCACATCATCGTACAACTGCCAAACTACATCATAACTCCCAAACCACTGAGAATCATGGCCCAGAAAAGTTGACACACAACCTTAATGATCACAATCAACAAGACCAAAAGTAGGTTCTTTGAAAAGATCAATAAAATAGACAAATCAATGGACAAACTGACAAAAGAAACACAGGAGAGGAAGTAAATAACCCAAATAAGAAATAAGATGGGTGATATTGCAACAGACTCAACTGAAACAAATAGTATCAACAGAGACTACTATGAAAAATTGTACTCCAACAAATTTGAAAACTGAGAGGAAACGGACAAATGTCCAGAAACACACTACCTACCTAAACTAACACAAACTGAGGCAGAAAATCTGAACAAACCAGTAATAAGAGATCAAAAAGGTAATAAAAAAGACTTCCAACAAATAAAAGCTCTGGCCTGGACAGCTTCACTGGAGAATTCTACTAAACTTTCCGAAAAGAGCTAACACCAATACTGTTCAAACTATTTCAGAGCATAGAAAAGGAAGGAATACTCCCAAACTCATTCTACAAAACCAGCATAACCTTGATACCAAAGCCAGGCAAAGACACCACAAAAAAGAAAACTACAGACCAATACCCCTCATGAACACAGACACAAAAATTCTGAACAAAATTCTAGCCAATAGAATTCAACAGCATATCAAAAAAATAATACATCATGACCAAGTGGGGTTCATACCAGGTATGCAGGGATGGTTCAAAAATAGAAAATAAATCAATGTAATCTACCACATAAATAAAACAAAAGAACAGAATCACATAATCATCTCAATAGACACAGAAAAGGCATTTGACAAAGTTCAACACCCTTTCCTGATAAAAACTCTCAGCAAAGTAAGAATAGATGGGAAATTCTTCAACATAATAAAGGGCATTCATATAAAACAAACAGCCAACATCATTCTAAACAGAGACTGAAAGCATTCCTCCTGAGAACAGGAACCACCAGACAAGGATGCTCTTAATCACCACTCTTAGTCAATATTGTACCGAAGGTACTAGCTAGAGCAATAAGGCAAGAAAAAGGAATAAAAAGCATCCAAATCGGTTAGGAAGAGGTAAAACTATTCCTATTAGCTGTTGATATCTTATACACAGAAAACCCCAAAGAATCCACAAGAAATCTACTGGAACTAATAAAAGATTTCAGCAAAGTAGCAGGATACAAGATTAACATACAAAAATCAGTAGGATTCCTCTACACCAACAAAGAGAACTTCGAAAAGGAAATCACCAAATCAATGCCATTTACAACAGCCCCCAAGAAGATAAAGTACTTAGGAATAAATCTAACCAGGGACATAAAGGACCTATACAAAGAAAACTGCAAAACATTACGACAAGAAACCAAAAGAGACCTTCTTAAGTGGAAAAACATACATGCTCATGGGTAGGTAGACTCAACATTGTGAAAATGTCAATTCTACCCAAAGCGATCTACAGATACAATGCAATTCCGATCCAAATTCCAAAAGCATTCTTTAATGAGGTGGAGAAACAAATCACTAACTTTATATGGAAAAGGAAGCAGCCCCAGATAAACAAATCATTGCTTAAGAAGAACAAAGTGGGAGGCTTCACACGACCTGATTTTAGAACATAATATACAGCCACAGTAGTCAAAATAGCTTGGTACTGGTACAACAGATACATAGACCAATGGAGCAGAATTGAGAACCCAGATGTAAGTCCATCCATCTATGAGCAGTTGATATTTTGCAAAGGGCCAAAGTCTGTTAAATGAGGAAATGACAGTCTCTTTAACAAACTGTGCTGGCATAGCTTGATGTTCTTCTGTAAAAACATGAAGAGCCATACCTCACACCATACACAAAAACTAACTCAAAATGGATTAAAGATGTAAATATAAAATCTAAAACAATACAGATCGTGGAAGAAAAAATAGGGACAACACTAGCAGCCCTAATAGATGGCATAAATAGTATACAAACCATAACTAACAATGCATAAACACCAGAAGAGAAACTAGATAACTGGGAGCTCCTAAAAATCAAACACTTATGTTCATCAAAATAATTCACAAAAAGAGTAAACAGAGAACTCACAGACTGGGAAAAAATTTTTGGCTCTGATATATCCAATAAGGGTCTAATCTCTAAAATCTACAAGATACTGCAACACTTCAACAACAAAAAGACAAATAACCCAATTAAAAAATGGGCAAAGGAATGAACAGACACTTCACCAAAGAAGACATTCAGGAGGCTAACTGACATATGAGGAAATGCTCACAATCATTAGCCATTAGAGAAATGCAAATCAAAACTACAATGAGATTCCATCTCACCCTGACAATGCTGGCACTAATTCAAAAAACACAGAATAACAAATGTTGGAGAGGTTATGGGGAAACTGGAATTCTTATGCACTGCTGGTGGGAATGTAAAATACTACAACCACTTTGGAAAACGATATGGTGCTTTCTTAAAAAGCTAGAAATATAAATATTATGCAATCCAGCAATTTGACTCCTAGAAATATATCCTAGAGAAATAAGAGCCTTCACACTAATAGACATATTCATTCCCAGGTTCACTGCAGCACTATTCACAATAGCAAAAAGATGGAAACAACCTAAATGCCCATCAACAGATGAATGGATAAACAAATTATGGTAATACACATAATGGAATATTATGCAGTGATAAAGAACAATGATGAATCCATGAAACATCTCACAACATGGATGAATCTGGAGGGCATTAGGCCGAGTGAAATAAGTCAGTCACAAAAGGACAATTATTGTATGAGGCCACTATTATAAGAACTCAAGAAAAGGTTTACACACAGAAAAAAGCATTCTTTGATGGTTAAGAGGGTGGGGAGGGAAGAAGAAGGGGAAGTCAGTAACTAGATAGTAAACAAGTGTCAACTTCGGTGAAGGGAAGGACAAGGCCCAATACAGGGAAGTCAGCACAACTGGATCAAAGCAAAAGCATAGAAGGTTCCTAGACACATCCAAACACTTGAGGGACCAAGCAGCTGGGGCTGGGGCCCAGGGAGCATAGTCTCAGGGGACATCTAGGTCAACTGGGATAACATAGTTTATAAAGAAAATGTTCTACATCCCACTTTGGTGAGTAGCGTCTGAGGTCTTAAAAGCCTGTGAGCGGCCATCTAAGATACATCTATTGGTCCCATCCCACCCGGAGCAAAAGAGAATGAAGAAAACCAAAGACACAAGGAAAATACTAGCCCAAAAGAGTAAAGGACCACATGAACCAGAGACTTCACCAGCCTGAGAACAGAAGACCTAGATGGTGTCTGGTTACCACCAATGACCCCCTGACAGGAACACAACGGAGAGTCCTGGACAGAGCAGGAGAAAAACGTAGAACAGAATTCAAATTCATGACAAAAGACCAGACTTACTGGTCTGACAGAGACTGAAGGAACCCCCAAGACTGTGGCCCCCGGACATCCTGCTAACTCACAACTGAAACCACTCCCAAAGCCCATTTTTCAGGCAAAGATTAGACAGGCCTATAAAACAAAAATAACACATGTGAGGAATGTGCTTCTTTGTTCAATCAAATATACAAGACCAAATGGGCAACTCCTGTCCAAAAGCAAGATGAGAAGGCAGGCAGGGACAGGAACTGAATGAATGGACACAGGGAGCTCAGGATGGAAAATGCTGTAACATTGTGGGGATTGCAACCAATATCACAAAACACTATGTGTATAAATTTTTGAATGAAAAAATAACTTGAGCTGTACACTTTCACCTAAAGCACAATAATTTCTTTTTAAAAAAGAAGAGAGACGAGTCATGTTAACAAGGACCACTGATTTTTTTATTAAATTTATAATGAAATACTACGATAATTTCTTCTCTTTCATAAAAAACTTAAATATTTACAACATTATCAGTTTGGGGAAAAAACAAAGACAAGAAAATAAGGAAAAGTAATCAAAAGACAAATTCAAGCATAGAATAAATACAGCCTATTAATGTGTCTGCCTGGCTCTGGTGGCTGCTGTCAGGGTGCCAGACTCTCAGTCTCAGAATCAGTAGTAGTTCAAGATCTCCTCCAGATTCAACATGTCCAAGTGGGGTATTTTGGTGACTTCAAAGAAGACCCTGCAAAAGGAAGAGACATCTGCTCAACATAAAACAGGCCAAAGCCAAGCATGCTCCATGGGACAAGTAGGACATAGGGCCCCAGGTTCCCTATCTTGCTTTAACCCTAGAGCAGAAAAGAAAGTAAAATTGTTTTAATTCTTCTTTTTTTCCTTAAATGAAGCTAGTCTGAGTCTATTGTTTTAAGGCTTCTCCAGGACTGAATACACCCCCAACTTCATCCAGGGCTTGGTACTTACTGGTGAGAATACTTGGAATACACAGTCTTGAGCCTGTCACAAGGCTGAAAAGTCAGCATGATGTTCAGCTGTCTGACCAAGGGGTGAAGATCAGAGGTCTTATAGCCACTGTAATATTCCAGGGTAGGAGCCTGATAGAAGCAACAAGAACAGTGATTTCCACTACAGGAAGCAGATCCTTCTTCCATCTCTGCTATCCCAAGTCCAAACTTCCCATCCATGGTATAGTCATGGGTAATAGTCCAAATATTTTAAAAACCCACACAGCACAGATACTGACCAATAACTATAGGGTACTATCTAGAAGAATGGGTTCCAGCCATAAACTACTTGTATGGCTATATCCAAATGTACCTGCTAGGTATTAGCCCTGGTCATAGGTAATCATGTAAGCTGAAATCCATCAAAGAATCTAAAGAACATGACTGATTTTGTAATTTACTCAGTCTCAGGTCCAGAGCTAATGGTCAGACAATCCCCAGAACAAACTTTAGGTTCCAATTCAACAGCCAACAGAAATTAGGGCTGTTCCTCTTATGACCATCATTCCATACATTCATTTACTCATTCAGCTCTTAAGAACGCATATTATGTTGCAGAAGCAGGATAGCAGAGTGTTTAAGAGCAAAGGTTCTGGATGCAGGTTGCTTGGTTTCAAATCTCAGCTCCATGGCCTTGAGCTAGTTATTTAACCTCTTGGTGCCTCAGCTTCCTCATGTGACAAATAAGGGCCATTACAGTAATTATATCATAGGATTAAATGAATTAAAGCACACAGAACAGGGTCTAGCACATAGTAAGTGCCCAATCAATATCAGCTAGGATTAATAATACCAAACTCTATGTAGGATGCTGGGGATACAAAGATTAATAATAAGGCTCAGGTTCTTGGGAAGTCTGTAGTCTAATGGGGGAGACACACATGTAAACAGAGAGTTACAAACTATGTGGTAAGTGCTATAATAGAAGTAAGCATGGGATACTGGAGGTATGGAGCAGCAGGGCCAATAAATTCTGGCCAGAAAAGTCACAGAAAGCTTCTAGCGGAGGGCACATTTGCAATGGGTGTTGAAAGAAAAGTGGGAGCTCAACAGGCAGAGGAAGGAAGAGGACTTACAAGTTAGTGGTTTTTCTAAAAGTGTTTTACGTTCTTTTCCTTGATTTCTTTTTTTGTTTTTTCAAATAGCTTGCCTGGAAGCCCAAATATCTTACCTGGAATCAGAGGAGGGGGTCTACAAGCCCACCAATTTGGATCCCTTTACCTTTTAAGTGGCACCTGAGACACTTCTGCAGGAGCCCCAGGGCTCTACCAAATACTGTTTGGAAACCACTGCCACAGGCAAAAGGCAGTCATTGGAATGTTGAACACGGAAGTAACACATGGAGGCATAACACGGAAGTAACACATGGAGGCAATGCATCATACTGGGTGTGTTAAATAAGATTCATGGTGCCACTGCCACTGTGTTGGTTCAGGCTCTCAAGGCTTCACTTTGACAATTATGATAGCCTACTCACTGATGTTCCTACCTTTAGACTCTCTCTCATCTAATATACCTTGTATACAGTACTGTTTCCAAAATACACAAACAGGAGTATGTCACTTTCCTGCCTAAAAGACCTGCAAAGCCTTAGGATAAAGTGGGTTTCTCGGTATGGCACACAAGGTCCCTTCCATCTTGGTCTCATCTCTCACCATTCCCTATTAATTTTTTTCATATTTTTTTTACTGTGGTGAAATAATACAAAAAACATACTCCAACAATCTCCCTATTAATTAATATACTCCCTGCTGTATCCATAGCAGATTTCACATGCTGCCTCAAATATATCACATTCTTTTCTTAGTGCTTTCACATCTTTGCAAATATCACTCTCTGTGCCTTGAATGTCTCCTCTCATAAATTCCTACTCATCTTTCAAGACCCAGCTCAAGTCACCTCCTTTGTAAAGCTTTAGCTATAGGAAAGACAGTATAACATAGTGGACTGTGGAGCCAGACTACCTGAGTTAAAATTAGGGCTGACATTTAGCTGATATTCACTAGTATAGCCATATCAAGTGTTAAAACACTGAAATATTCTGGTTGGCAAACAATTTTCTGACTTGAGCCTCTCAATTGCCTTCTCCAGGACCCACTGGACTTTCCCAGGAAGCAAAAGTCAGAGCCTGGCTTAGCCTGGGGCTTCCAGGACTGTGGCTCCCGAGTGCTGGTCACATCCATTATGCAGTAGTTATATATTTTGAATATCACTCCTAGTCCTCAAAGCCTAGCTCTGCCTCCCATTAGCTGTATAAACATGGAAAGTTATTTAAATTCTCAGTGCCTTAGTTTCTCAACTGTAAATAGGAATAATAGCCCTGATCTCATAAGTTGTTGTGAAGATTAAATGAGTTAATACACAAAGTGCTTAGAACACTAAGCCCTCGATAAATGCTAGCCATTATTATTATTTATTCATTTTCGTCATCATCACTGTCTCTTATTGAATGCTTTCTCTGTCCCAGGAATTTTCACTATGACTTTTCCAAGTTGGGGCTCTTTCTTAGCACACAGAGGTTTTCCCATCAGTAGTGACACCAGAATTTCTAGGTGGGAGGGACATAGGGGTGGTTGGAAAGAGGGTTTGCATTTGCATAGGGAGCATACTCTTTTTTACTTGGATTACATGTTAACATCAATAAAAATTCAAAGGTCTCTAAAGTTTCATTTATTCACAATTTTTCATAAAATTGAGAAAGCATCAAATATGATTTTTATTTGTATTAGAGTAGAAGGCTTAGGGGAATCTTATAACTCTGAGTCCCGCATTATACATATGGACAGTTGCTTTCACTACTCTAAAATGCTACATCAGTGCTTTTCAAACACTGTTCCAGTAGGCTCCCTCAGGGGCCAACCTTGCTGATGGGATTATAAGGGGTAGGGATGGAAGGAGGTCAGGGATAAGAAGTGGGCCCACTCCACACCACTGCTTTAACCAGAATAACTCCACATTAGTTTGCTTTGGAATATTGGGCTCTGAGGTAAGCTTTATTTGGAAAAAGGGTACTGTGACTATTTTGGATTGAACTGTATCCCCCATAAAAGATATTTTGAAGTCCTAGCCCCTGTATCTGTGAATGTGACCCTGTTTGGGAATAGAGTTTTTCTTTTGTTATGTTAATATGGCCATACCACAGTAGGGTGGATTCTAAACTTAATCCTGTCTGAGTGGTCTCTTATAAAAAGGGAAAACAGACACGGAGAGACACACACAGGGAGAGGATGGACACTATGTGAGGATGGAGACAGATGCATTTATAAAGGACTGCCAGCAGCTACTAAAAGCTAAAAGAGACAAAGAAGAGCCGATGCCCTGAATTCGGACTTCTGGTCTCCTAAACTCTGAGAAAATAAATTTCTGTTCTTTAAAGCCACCCAATTGTGGTATTTTTTTGTTACAGCAGCACTAGAAAACTAAGAATTTGGTACCTAATAGTGGGATGCTGCTGCAACATATAACTACAAACATGGAAGGGCTTTGTAGTTGGGTAATGCGTAGAGGCTGGAAGAGTTTTGAGGTGCTTGATAGATTTACTTGAAGAGGCTGTTGGTAGAATTATGGATATTAAAGGTGATTCTGATAAGGGCTCAGAAAGAATTAAGAGGTGTGGGGAAAGCTTCTATTGTTATGGACAGAATGTTGCTAGAAATGTGGATGTTAAATGTGTTTATGGTGAAGCTTTAAAGGAAATGATGAACATGTTATTTGGACACTGGAGGAAAGAAAATCCTTGTTATAAAGTAGCAAAGAATTTGTGAATTATGTTCAAATGTTTTGTGAAAAGTAGAACTTGTAAGTAATGAACTTGGATATTTAGCTGAGGAGATTTCTAAGTGAAATCTTGAAGGTGCAGTGTGGTTTTTTCCTTGCTGCTTATAGCAAATATGGGAGGAAATAGATTGATAAATGAACTATTAGGCAAAATGAAATCAGAACTTGAAGATAGGCATGTGACCTATGGATTCAATCAACCATTTCAGTAGAAACACTCCCAGTTAGACTGAAGAGAACAAAGACAGGACAAAATAAAGCAAAGCTGTCCAATTCCTGTAATTCCATAGGCAGGAACAGGACAATGGAGCAACTTGGCTATAAATATCTGTTGTCCCTCAAGAAAAGGAAAAGATAATCCTGGGAGTAGTTTAGAGACGAGCAGGACTGGTAGAAGGAGCATGAGGAGGCAGGGTCACCACTTCCTGGGCTTCAAAGGGTAGGGTCACCCCTAGGTTTCAAAGGGTGGGGCTATCACCTCAGTTCCAGAGTGTGGGGTTGTTGTGCAAGTAGGCTGGGATAATGGGGTTGCTCAGGGCAGAGGGAGCAGGGCAATCAACCTGATGGGCCAGAAGAACAGGACTCGCCCAAAGCAGAGAGGATGGAGCTGCCATCCAGAGCTGTAGGGCCCCCACTCAAAGTCCAGAGGGGAGGGCCAATGCTCAGATAGTTTTGAAAAACAGAAGATTATTTTCAAGACTTGAGATCTAATAGCATTTGCCCTGCTGGGTTTTGGACTTGCTTGGTGCCTGTGACTCCTTCTTTCCCTTTAATTTCTCTCATTTGAAATGGGACTGTTACCTTATGCCTGTTTCACTACTGTACTTTGGAAGCAGATAACTTGTATTCTACATTTCACAGGTCCACAGATGAACAGAAGTTTGCCCCAGGATGGACCACACCCAGAGTCTCACCTATATTTAATTTAGATAATTCAGAAGATAAGATTTTAGACTTAAAGTGGATGCTGAAATGGGTTAAGATTTTGGGGATGCTGAGATGGGGTGAATGTATGTTGCATGTAAAAAGGACATGAATTTGGGGGGCAAAAGGTGGAGCATTATGGATTGAATGTATCCCCCAAAATATATGTTGAAATTCTAACTCCTACATCTGTGAATGTGACTGTTTGAGAATAGGGTTTTCTTTTGCTATGTTAATGAGGTTATACCAGAGTAGGGTGGGTCCTAAACCTAATCCCTTCTAAGTGGTCTTTTTTTTAAAAAGGAAAATCAGACACAGGGAGAAGACAGACACCATGTGATGAAAGAGGCAGAGGCATCTATAAGCAACAAAGGAATGCCAGTGATTGCTGGCAGCCACCAGAAACTAGAAGAGAGGCTCACAGAAGGAATCAACAGGGCTGAGACCCTGATTTGGACTTTCAGCCTGCAGAAATGTGAGAAAGCACATTTCTGTTTTTTAAAGCCACCCACTTGTGGTATTTTTGTTATAATAAACAAACAAAAATACCCATTCTCGTCAAGTCGATTCTGACTCATAGTGACCCTATAGGACAGAATAGAACTCCCCCATAGGGTTTCCAAGGACTGGCTGGTGGATTCGAACTGCCGACCTTTTGGTTAGCAGCCATAGCTCTTAACCACTGTGCCACCAAGGCTCCAGCACTAGGTAAATAAGACAGTGACTAAGGAAAATAAAATATTTTAAAATCACTGCTGTAGAAACCCTTTTGGGCATCCAGGTCACTAAATTATTGAGGTGTTAATGAATTCCTAACTTTGGGTATGTGGCAGTTTTTTCACCTAGAGTTTCCCACATCTTTCCTGAGTCAACCCTGTTTTTGAATCCCAACCCCTTGCCCCCTGCAAGTGTTTTACCCAGTGTCCAAGCTTCTTCATGTAGAGGGCCAGGAGGAAGGAGCTAGCAGCTAGCTTGGAAGCCCTCTCCTGGATATAGTCATATTCTTGCAGGGTCATTTCGCAGATGAAGCGGGATAAGGTCAAGGTCTTCATGTTGGCATGAACACACTAAAGGTAGCAAGAAGACAGGCTCAACAACCAATTTGGAATACCAGAACCAACCGGAAGGCTCCTCTATACATATTTTATCCACTTATCCCACCCCAAACCTAAAACCTCTCTGCTTGAGAAATTTTCCTCTCCTGCCTCCACGGTTCATCGTAAGATCCCTACCCCAAAAAGCACAGAATCTTTATGAGCGGATTCTGAAAGCAGCAGTGGGAGTTGCCACCTTTGCGGTTTTTAAGCAAATTCTCAAGTGTGTTTCTTGTACCCTTCCACCTACCTTTTTTATAACAGTCATCCTTTGAAGGGCCAAAGTCCTCCCAACTCTGACTTTGACCTAGTTCCACCCTAGGAGATGGTCTACGATCCAAAAGAACCCTTTCGCTTTTCTTGTTTGAACCTCTTTTAAAAATTATGGCCACATACACACACACACAGAAAAGCACAGAATGCACATACAGAATACAATAAATAATTATAAAGTGACATTCCATGTAACCAATACCCAGGTGAAGAAAAAGAACATTGCTAGCATCCCTCCAAAATTGCCCATATGTCCCTTCCTGGTTAAAAAATCATCTTCCCCATCCCTACTCTGCCCTCACCTCAAAGCTTTACAGGCATGAAACAACCAGAAGCAATTAAAGAGAATGTTGACACATTGTGAAAAATGTAACTAATGCTGCTGAAAAATTTGTGTAGAACTTGTCAAATGAAAACCTAATTTGCTGTGCAAACATTTGCTGAAAAAACATTATTTAAAAAAAAATCTTATAGGTACACTCTGCAAATCAGCAATTTGACCTCCCTGCTTCGTAGACTGCTGTATTAGTTATCTAGTGCTGCCATAACAGAAATACCACAAGTGGATGGCTTTAACAAACAGAAAGTTATTCTCTCACAGTTTAGGAGGCTAGAAGTCCAAATTCAGGGGACCAGCTCCAGGAGAAACTTTTTCTCTCTGTCAGCTTTGGGGGAAGGTCCTTGTCATTAAACTTCCCCTGGTCTAGGAGCTTATCAGCACAGGGACCCTGAGTCCAAAGGACATGCTTTGCTCCTGGCTTTTCTCACTTGGTAGTAATGAGGCCCCTCTCCTCTCTGCTAGATTCTCTCTTTTATATCTCAAAAGAGATTAACTCAAGATACAACCTAACCCTGTAGATTGAGTCCTGCCTCATTAACATAACTGCCTCTAATCCTGCCTCATTAACATCATCCCCAAAACCAAACCCACTACCATTGATTCTGACTCATAGCAATCCCACAGGGTTTCCAAGGCTTAAAATCTCTACAGAAGCAGACTGCCACATCTTTCTCCCATGGAGCAGCTGGTGGTTTTGAACTACTGACCTTTCAGTTGGCAGTTGATCACTTTACTCACTGCACCACCAGGGCTCCTTCATTAACATCATAGAGGTTAGGATTTACCACACACAGGATAATCACATCAGATCACAAAATAGTGGACAACAACACAATACTGGGAATCATAGCCTAACCGAGTTGACACACATTTTGGGGGTATACAATTCAATCCATAACAACTGCCAACCTTTAATTGAAGGAGAGAATTCCCCTACACCTAAGCTGTTCCGTTTCCCTTTTCCTACCACTCAGATAGTCACTCTAGGCATACAAGGGACTAACCAAGCAGTGAGAGAATGAAGATGTGCCTATTCCATCTTACCCTAGCATATCTGCGCAGAAAATGATAGGCGGTGGGGATGTTGATGTCAAATTTGAGGGTTTTCAGGATGCTGATTTCCATGGCAAGCACCTCATCTCGCTGATAAATATCATCACAGATGTACAGGAAGTCATCCACACAAGGTGGGCAGGTCTCCTTTGAGGGGAGAAGAGAGGCTGTCACAACAGGGCACACTCTGCTCTCTGCTTAGACATAAATGGCAGAGGAAAAGAGGGATGAGGTACAGGATGCAAACACACATCCGAGCATAAATATTCAGGGTACCACTGACAGCCAGCTTCTGGTAGATTTGAGACGCTCAGCAAAAAAAAAAAGAGGGATGACAGAGGGAGAGAGGCGGGCATAAGAGGGGCAGCAGGAGGGGGAGAGGGAGAGAGAAAGGATGGGAAAGGGAAGGAGAGAGGGAGAGTGGGAGAGACAGAGCCAGAACTAGAGGGAGAAAGGTGGAAAGAGACTAAGAGAGAGGGGACAGAGAGTGAGACAAGTGGAGAAAAGGAGAGGGATGTATATATAGAGAAAACAGAAAAGAGGGAAAGAGAGGAAGACAGAAGGAGAAGGTAGAGAGAGGGAGAAAAACGGAGGGGGCAAAAGTAGGAAGGAAAGTGAAGGAGAGAGGGGGACAGAAAATAAGATGGGAGAGAGATGAAGAGAAAGAGGGAGATAAAAAAGGAGGGAAGGAGTTGGGGAAGGGAGAGATAAGTGAAGAGAGAATGAGAAAGAGAGAGAGAGGAAGAGGAGACAGAGAAGGGGGTATCTAGAACAAGAGGAGAGAGGAGAGACAGAAGTAGGATAGGAATAGAAGTTAGGGGGAGAGAGATGGCCCCAGAGAGAGGAGGGGGGAGAGAGAGAGGGAGGGAGACAGAGAGGGGTAGACAGAGGGAAACAGAGTGGGAGAGAGAGAAGAAGAAAAAGGGATTGAAAGGGGCACAGAGATGGGGACAGATATGAAGACACAGAGGGAAAGAAGGCAAGAGAGGGGTAGTGGGAGATAAGGAAGAGCAGAGAGGGAGGAAGAGAGACATGGGGCAAGAGGGGGAAAAAGAGGAGAAAAGAAAGTGGGGATAGGAGTAGAAAAAGAGGGGGGGAGGGGAGAGAGTGTGACAGGGAGACGAGGAGAAGGGAGGAGAAAAGGAGAGAGAAACAGGCCTAAAGATAGGGAGGGAGCTGAGGAGAGAAAGAGAGAAGAGAGAGGGGGTAGCAGAGAGTGAGGTGGTAGGAGAGAGTGAGAGTGAGAGGGGTGAAGAGAGGGGGGAGGGAAAGAAAGAGAAAAGTAGATAAAGAAGGCTAGAGAGAGGGAGGGAGCAGGGGAGAAAGAGGTAATCAAGGGAGTATGGGAGAGAGGGTGAGAGGGAGGAAGGGGATGCAGAGGGAAACAGGGCAAAAGTGAGAGACATAGAAAGAGGGTGGAGAGGGGTAGAAAGGAAGAGAAGGAGGGTTGTGGGAGACTGAAAAAGTAGAGAAAGGGAGGAGCGAGATGCAGATAGAGAGATGAGTGAGGGAAAGGGAGGAGGAGGGGGAAGGAAGGGAAGGGAAGATGGGAGAGATAAAAGGAGCAAGAGGGAGAAAGAGTGAGGGGCAGGATGAGGGGGAGAGGAAGGCAGCAGATAAGTGAACAGACATGAGGACAGAGGATGAAAGATGAGGGGAAGAGAGGGAGGGAGGGAGAGAGAAAGAAAGAGGGGGCAGGAGGGACTGTGGTAAAAGAGGTGGGGAAAGGGGAGAGGAGAGGTGAAGGGGTCAGAGAGAGGAGGAGACAAGGGTATAAAGGAGGGGACAGAGAATGAGATAAAATATAGAGGTGGAGGAAGAGAAGAAGGATGGTAGATGAGGGGTAAGGGAAAGATATAATGAGAGAGGAGGGGGAAACGGGGGAAGAGAGGGGAGAGAGAGAAGGAAGGGTATCTAGAGCACAGGAGAGAGAGGGGAAGCAAAATGGAAGCGTGGAGGAGAGCAGGGAGAGAGGGAGAGAGCGGAAGGAAAAGAGAGGGGGAGGGAGAAAGAGGGAGAGAGAAAGAAGGGACAGAAAGGGGGACAGAGAGGGAGACAGAGGGGGGACAGAGAGAGGCATGTTAGAGAAAGAGGATCACAGGGAGTGAGTAGGACAAAACAGGAGAGACGGATAGACAGAGGGAGGGAGGGAGAGAGAGAGAGAGCAAGGGGGAGAGGAGGCAGAAGTGAGATGGAAGGAGAAGAAGAGAAAAGATGAAGGGTGGAGGAAGACAAGGAGAGTCTGGGGTAGAGAGTAGGGTTTGGGAGTAGGAGAGAAAGGGAGCAGGGAGAGAGGAAGAAAAGGATAGAGAGATAGGCATGAAGATAGGGAGGGAGCAGGAGAGGGAGATAGGAGATGGGAGAAAGTGAGAGAGAAAGAGGTGAGGAGAGCTAGTGAGAAATGGAGAGGAGGGAAAGAGAGAATGGGAGGGGGACAGAGAAAGAGGGAGGGAGCAGGGGAAAGAGAGATGTAAGCAAGAGGGTATTGGGAGAGAGTGAGGGGAGAGAAAGGGAGAGAGGAAGGGGATACAGAGGGAGAGAAATGAAGAGAGAGGGAGGGAGGGGGAGAGATAGGAAGAGGGTTGTGAGAGAGGGGGAAAGTGGGGAAGAGAGGGAAGAAATCCAGATAGACATATGGGGAGAGAGGGAGGGAGGGAGGAGAAGGAAAGATAGAGGGGCTTATGGGGGGGAGAAAAAGAGGGATTGAAAGAGGGACAGAGATGGGGACAAAGACAGGGACAAAGCGGGAGAGAGGAGAAGAGAAAGAGGGAGTGGGAGAGAGGGAAGAGAGTTGAGGGAGGGAAGTAGGAAAGGAGAAAGAGATGGTAAAGAGAGTGAGAGAGAGGGAGGGAAAGAAAAGATAGGAGAGTTAAGAGAGAGTGAGAGAGAAGAAAAGGGGGAGAAAGAGAACAGGAGGCAGAGGGAAGAACAGTCAGAGAAGGACAGAGGGAAATACAAAGGGAGAGATGGGAGGAAAGAGAGGTGGAGAGAAAGGGAGAGAGGGGAGAGAGGAATACAGGAGAAGAAAAGGAAAGGGAAAGGAATAAAGGGAGAGAGGTCAGGAGTGCAGAGGAGAAGAGGGGGAGAGAGGGGAAGAGTGAGATGGGAGAGAGAGAGAAAGGAAGGGAAAGAGAAAAGAAGGGAGGGGAAGGGAAAGATATATAGAGAGAATGGAAGAGAGAAGATGAGAGAGAAGACGAGAGGGAGAGAAGAGCAGGTGGAGAGAAAGAAGAGAGGGAGAGGAGCAAGAACAAGGCTGAGAAATGAGAGGCAGGATGGGATAAAGAGAGTGCAAGAGGGAGACGGGCAGAGAGGAGGAGACAAAGAAGAGAGACAGAGGGAGAGAGATCAGGGCTAATGAGGGGGAGAGCAGATGAGAATGGGAGAGGGAGATTTTGGGAAGGGGGGAAAGGTAGCAGGAATGGGATGGAAGGAGAGGAAGAGAAGGGGTGAAAGAGCAAGGGAGAGGAGAGAGACTGTGAGAGAGAAAGGGGGAGAGACAGTGAGAGAGGAGAAGAGAGGGTGAGAAACAAGGAGCATAAAGAGAGGAGGCAGAGGAGGGAAGAGAAGAAGCAGGGAAGAGGGGGAGGAAAGGAGAGAGGGTGGGGAGTGGGAGGGGGCAATGGGGGAGGGAGGGACATAGAGAAGGAAAGGGTTGAGAGAGAGGGAGAGAGTAGAGAATTAGAAAGAAATAAGAGAGTGAGACAGGGAAAGAGAGAGGGAAGGAGGAAGAAAGGAATAGAATGGAAAAGAGAATGGGAGATGAGAGTGGGAGAGAGAAAGAGGGAAAAAAGAGGGAGAGAGGCACAGAGATGTGGACAAAGAAGCGGAGATAGATGGGGAGGGGAAAACGGGACAAGAGAGGGAGTAGGAGGAAGAGGGTAGGAGGAAGCGAGCCGGGGAGGAAAGGGAAGGTAAAGATTGAGGAACCCATAGAGGAAGAGAGTGGGGGAGAGAGAAGGGGGGACTGAAAGGAGGACAAAGAAGGGGACAGAAGGAGAAAGAGAGTCGGGGTTGGAAGTAGGAGAAACAGGATAGACATCAGGGAAGAGAGGGAGAGGGGAAAACTAGGGAGAGATAAAGAAAGAGGGAAAGAGGAGATAGAAGACAGAAGGAGAGAGGAAGGGAGTGAAGGTGCAAGGGGAAGGGAAAGATATAGGGAGAGAAAAGGGATGAGAGTGGGGGTGGGGGAGAAAGGACAAAGAGGGGGACCAAAGAGGGTAGAGAAAAGGGGAAATGGGGAGAGAGATCAGAGGGAGAGTGGGGAAAAGATAGGGAGGAAGAAAGAAGGGAGAGATGAAGATAGACAGAAGGGAGAGGGAGGGAGACATATGGAAAGAAACGGACAGAGGGGGGAAAACGGAGGGAGGGAGTGGGAAAAGGAAAGATAGATGAGAGACAGGAGAAGAGAGTAGGAGAGAAAGAAGGAGAAAAAGAGGAATTGAAAGAGGAACAGAGGGCAACAGACATGAGGACAAAGAGGGAGAAAGAGGGAAAGGCAGAGAAGGGGGGGGAAGAGAGGGAGGTAGAGAGGGGTAAAAGGGAGAAGGGTGAGGGAAGAAAAGAAAAAGAAGGATTGAAAGAGGAACAGAGGGTGACAGAGATGGGGACAAAGAGGGGGAGAAAGAAGGAAAGGCAGAGAAGGAAGGGGAAGAGAGTAGGATAGAGGGGGTAGAGGAAGCAAGGGGGAAGGAGGAGGGAGAAGAAAGGAGGGGAGGGGAGGAGACAGGAAGAGGGAAAGAGGGAGGAAGAGAGAGAGGGAGGGGAAAGGAGAGACAGAGGGATCTACAGGGGAAGAAAGTGGGAGAGAGAGGGAGAAAAAGAAGGACTGAAAGGGGGACAGAACAACAACAACAACAAAAAAAAAAAAAACCTGTTGCTGTCAAGTCGATTCTGACTCATTACAACCCTACAGAACTGAGTAAAACTGCCCCATAGGGTTTCCAAAGAGTGGCTGGTGGATTTGAACTGCTGACCTTTTGGTTAGCAGTCAAGCTCTTTAACTGTGCCACCAGGGACAGAGGGGGACATATAAGGGGAAATAGAGGAAGAAAGAGAGAGATGGAGAGAGGGGGAGTGAATGAGAGAAGAGGAGGGGGGGAAGGGGAAGGAATGGGGAGCAGGAGAGGGAAGGTAAGAGTGGGGGG